TTTCAGGGTGGCTTCTCGCCTTGTCATGAGGAGGACTCATTAGGGAACAGCCCGAGCATGGGTGTGGCGCCCGCCTTGCCCAGAATGAGCCCCTCTGAGCAGCAGACTCATCCCACTGTAATTTTAAACCCAGGAATCACCATGTATTTAGCTCACTATAAACACGTCTAATATTTGTAATGGTGTAATATTTGTAAGTGGTGGCTGTGTCCACACATGTTCAGAATGATCCTGCTGAGGCAAACGTGTGAAAGCCAGGGGCCCTGGGTGCTTGCAGTGGGTTTTCTGTATTGGTGACCAATTTGTAATTACTTTCCTGGGCAGAGAGAATGCCCTTGGATGTAGAAAGCAGGCTGATCAATAGATGAGATCAGTGACTGAGGACAGTGCGCAGGGGAGACGGGTGGATGCTGCAGATGTCAGTGTCTTTGCAGGGACTGGGCTGGGTGTGCTCCATGGTGGTTTTTGTGTAAGTGGTTGGACTGAACTGTTAAACCTGTTCAGTGCTTTAGAATGTACAAGAAAGCTAAGGGTTTGTGTTTTTTTTAAATGCATTTTTGCACACAGCCCCAAACCCTCAGAGAATTTCCCACAGTTTGCAGATAAGCTGACTAACCTGCAGAGCCTTGAGTTAGTGATGACAACTGCCCTGTAGAGATTAAACCAGCCTCATTCCAGGAATTCGTTCTGCTGATACACACAGGAATGTCAGAGAAAGGAATCTGGCCAACATACTTTCACCACACAGTAGCTGTCAAACATGAATTCCCCCTCCACCTTTACAGTGTTGCTCTCATTGCCCGTTGTAATGGCCACTCACAGTCCGTCAGGACTATGATGGGATGGACTTCTGGATGCCAAAGTCATTCCTAAAGTCATTCCCAGGAAGAAGTGGTTGAGCTGGTACTGGAACCCTGTCCCTGCCTCGGTGGCTGCCTGTGTTACATCGTGTCCGTTCATCAGCCTTTCCCTAACTGAAGAGCACAGATATTGGCCGTGGAAAAGATGGGGTTTCTTAAAGACGGGATTTCTTAATAGCTACCAGAGAAGCTAATTTTAACCAAGAACTTTGTTCTACATGGCATTTCATTTTCTCCTATTGCAATTGTATTAAAGTAAGCTTGGCATAAAAGTAGTCAGAAGAACATGAAATGAGGACCATAATTAGCGAGTTTTTAAATTTGCTTACAGTAAACATGAACATATAAAGCCCTCTAAGCAAGCTTTTCTTTCTTTATTTTCCGTTCAGAGAACTAGAGTTTCTCTAGGACGCCAGTAGACATTGCCCTTCCTAGAGGCCTGTGTAGAAATACCAATTCTACCCACCTGGCAATAAAGTGCCTTGATGATAAAATGCAGTTATAGTCTTTGAGAAGGAGTAAGGTTAAACAGCACTCGGCTGGACCATGTCTTGTGGCCCCCTGGGGAGAGGGACCTAAACAATACAGCGAGATGGTGCCTGTGTCCTTGGCCCAGAACACGCCAGTTTGCCGTCTCTAACTCACACTGAACGTTGCCTGGAAATCCGGAAAACATAAGTTACTCAAACCAAGTATATGACTGTCCAACCTCTTCTCTCTCAGGACTTGCCAGAATTATTTCAGTTGTGAGAAGGTTCCAAAAATGCCTAATGATGTATTTTTTGGGGGGCCATGCCTTTTAATAAGTTGCATTTTCTGTGTGGATGGCACCCAAAGGTTGGCTGGTTGTGGGGGAAGGTCTGAAACCTAAAATGCCTACAGTGTAGGGATCGTGGTGGGGAGACATTTTAAGAGACCTCACATTACCTGTAGTGGTGAAGGCTGACTTTGGGGGCTATTTCTGTGGGGTCAGCAGAGGACCAGTGCGTACAGAGTGCAGGTGATTACTGGTGTCTTGCCGTATACAAATGCCGCCCTTGCGACTGTGATGTTTTATTCTCGTGTCCTTTTTGAAATACCTGCCTTCTTCGGGAGGCTGCCCGCACCCCTGCTAACATGGTGCCGAGGGCTGCGGGCTGCGGCCTTGCACCGAGGGGCAGCGCTGGGGCCCGAGGGCGAACGCTGTCTGGGCGCTGTGCCCCAGCCCCAGTCTGCGCTGGGTTCATGAATTCACAGAGAAACATGAATGAATAACAACAGAAAATTGGTATGGGAACAGTGGAAGTCAGCAATTTTGCACAGCAAGCTTTAGGAGATGTTGTTTACCACAGTCTGCCTGAAATTGGGACAAAATTGAACAAAGATGAGTTTGGTGCTTTGGGAAGTGTGAAAGCTACCAGTGAACTCTCTTTTCCTCTATCAGGAAAAGTAACTGGAATTAATGAAGCTTTTGCAGAAAACCCAGGACTTCTCAACCAATCATTTTACAAAGATAGTTGGCTGATCAAGATACCACTGAGTAAGCCTACAGAACTAGATGAACTAATAAATGAAGAAGCATCTGAGAAATACATAAAATCTACTGAAGAGTGAAAGGGGAACCCCCCTCAATAAAGTAGTATGAAACAACAACAAAACAGTTGCATTCTTTTTCTTTTCTTTTCTTTTTACCAGCTTCTTAAAGAACAAAAGTTGACCTCTTGGAAGAATGAGAGCTTTGATGTGACTCGAATTGTAGCTTCCTATGTTTGTGTAACCCTCCTACTGAACTTCATCTTTGTACAGTCTGAGTGGAGCCCTTACAGGCAATGAAGATAGAAACCCAAAAGGGGATTATGATTTGCATTTCTTTCAGTTTCAGCTTAAATTTGTTTATTGACTTAACTCACAGACCGGCCCCAGGTCAGCAGGCCCAAGGGCACAGGCTCCCTGGCAAGGCTCTGCATTCTTCGGTGGGGAGCTCCAATGACACTTCGGGTTTGGCTCTTCTCCCGGATGATCAAGACGAGATGTCCTGGCTTCCAGACTGGTTTCTGTCACGTGAACAGCACGAACTTCCTCACTCAAGAACTGTGTTATATTGGCTTTAGGGATTTATGCCCTAAACCCATGGTTAAAGTATTGAGTCATGACAGAACAGTCATTGCCAGCTGTTTAGGGTGAAACCTAGAGGTCTCCTCCTTTGCTCTTTACATGAGGGAGAGGGTGTTTTTGGCAGGAGTGTATGACTTAGGCTTGGAGAACAACTGTTAATTAAGTGCTGGCTGAGGCTGGATCTGGCGTGATGGTGTGCGTAGACTTCACTGGAGTTCCTTCCTCCCTTATCTGGGGAGGATGTGGGGGAGGTAGGGGATTGGCTCTGGCTTCCACTTGCACCCCTCTCCCTGCACTGATGCAGGGAGGACACGGGGGAGTGGCCTTGCTTCCGCTGCTCTGCTTTAGGCTGGGCAGCAAATGTGTTTTCAGGGTGCCGGGGCCTTTTCGAATGCTTGGCTTTGGGTTTTCTCGTGGATGGTGGGGTGCCTGCATTGTCTTCTTCTTGTATCAGAAAAGTCACTGGGCTGACAGGACTGACTGCTGGGTGTATTTTCAGGGGCATGCCCTCCAAGAAGTGCTCTAGTAGAACATCCTTTTGGGACCAAGTACATGGGGAGGGCTGTCCCTACATTGGACACGCTTACTGAGAAACACCCTTCCCGTTTCCTGATGGCGATGATGTTGAAACTTGCAGGGAAAACACATCCCCTTTCAAATGTTTCTCCTACAACCTTTAGACTGTATCTCATGATTTTTTTTTTTTTAACGCTCCAAATAGTATTTGGCATCTAGTTTACTTGGGAAATGAAAGCAGACATGAGGAATGTGAGAGGGGAGTGAGATGGCCAAGGAAAGAAGCAAAGCAATTTTTTCCCTTTCACATTCTTTGCGATAAGAGAATTTGGGTTAATGTTATCGCGTTGTTGAAGCCCAAATTGCATGTCAGGGCCCTTAGGAAAATGAAAAACGTGGAGTAAACTGCAGCTCTGAAAACAATAGGTATGGCCATTAAAACGGAGAGTTCTCCAAGTGTTCTAGTTGCTCCTACAGCGTAAATTTTCTCTTGTCCGTCTTTTATGTCCGTGACATTGTTTCAGTAACTCCAGAGACCATTTATAATAAAGAAACAATGACAGTATTTTCGTGTTGAAATTATAATTGGTGAATTACTGTCCGTCTTGATTAAAATAATAGAAATTGGCCATGACATACGTGATCCCCTCTGTACTCTAAAAATACATGCAGAAAATCAGTTGTCGAACCAACTTGGTGGCTGGGGAGCTCAGAGTCTCCCCTGCTTTCCTCTCTGCCAGCATCTAAGTTGTTGTTTCCTGTGTAACCACCTTCGTGACGAGGAAAACCTTGGCGACTTAGCCAGTGAGCGTATTTCTCTGTTTGGACTGCCATCTGATAAATGTACGGCAGAAGTCTCTGATGAACCAGTTTAAATGATGTGTAGATCAATGCAGGTCTACTTTGTCTACATGACCTTTAGGCTTCCCCCACAGATTGGGGACTGATCATGTGTTGCTTTGTGGAAAACAAACTGTCCGTATCCCACAAGTGTTATGACTTGGCATTATCAGAGGAAGATGTTAAGGGGGGTTTTCTCGTGGACTGTAAGTTATTCTTCAGTGTTTTTTATCATCGTGATTATCATCATGTACATTCCTTAAGTTTGGCTTTCATTTATTTTTTTTTTTGACTGTTACCACATTGAGAGTCCTGTTTGTTTTGTTAAAGACAGTACAAATGACTCTGACTTTGAGCGAGGCCACAGATGGATTAAATTTCTTATTCTTTGCTAAGCAAAATGCACCTGCTTCAGAATCTTAAGTAGCTTTCTAATTGCTTCCTGGTGCACAGCATAGCAATAGTCATCTGTAATGTGGCAGATGGATTGCATTTTGGACGTCCCAGAAGTGACTTTCCCCCTCTGCAACAATGCCAGAAGCTGAGATTAGAAGAAGTCTTCTGGTTGAGGGCCCAGTTGTCATGGTGAATTAGTCCTTTCCTTCAGGCTGAGCTGATTAAAAGGGGCCCAAGATGTGGAAATGTAGGCTCCTAGTTTCAGTAACTGTGAATTTCCTCTTTGCTGGACAGAAGGACCAACTTCACTGCTCCCTGAATGTTCTGCAAGGCTGTGATCTCTAATCTGTGGGCCATCTTCATCTATTTCTCAAGCACCAAATGCTGCATCTGGCCTGTGGATTGAGGAGGCTCAGCTATGACAGCGGAGTAAGTGACCACGTCTTGGGCAGTGTTCACTGGATGTAAGGAGTGGGGAAATGTCTCAGAGATTCTCTTAGTGGGTCTGTTTCCAAAAGAGCTTACTCGAAGATGGGTGGAAAAAACAGGCACCAGCTAGTTCAGCCAGAAGAAATTCCTCTGTCAAGAGAAGGTGCAGATACCCGAAGGATGAAGTCTGTTTGCGAGATTACTGTCAGTGTCAGAAGGCTCAGTGGCTAAAGAACACTTGGCGATCTGATTGGCCTCCAGTGTTTTGGCAGTTGTGAAAAACAGATCTACAGGCAACTGTGGGAAGAATATGCAGTCACACAACCCTGAAGCTCAGGGGTGAGATCATTTGTTCACTTGGGCATTTATGCCCTTGCAGTCAACAAACATTTACTGAGAATAAGCTCTGTGCCAGGGACCGAATGAAGCGTGGCCCCTGTCTCGGAATCTCATAGTCTAGTGGCATGAAGCAGATATGATTTTTTTAAATGACAACAATGCATTCAACTATGTATGTACCACTAGGGTTGTGGAAAGAAATGTGTGACCATCTCTGGGAAACTTAAGGTTCATAAATGCAGCAGAATTGAGTGGGTCTTTAACGGTGGGTGGAAGGTGGTCAGGTTAAGAAGGAAAAGAGCACCTGAGGCTGAGGGGACTGCCAGGCTGTGGGCTCAGAAGTGTGACCCCTGCTATAATCTGATGACTGCATGCTCAGGCGTGTGTGGGGGCCGGGGGGCAGGTGGGCACACAGTATTCAGGGTGTCAGGACACATGGGCAGAGAATAAAGTAGGTAAGGGCTGGTCCACTGAGGGCACTGTGCTCCAGGCTGGAAGGTGGGACTCTATCCAGGAGACAGTGCAGAGCTGATTGGCACAGTCAGATTGAGGACGTGCTGAGAGTAAGTCCCAGACCCCTCACTCTGGTGCAAACAACCCTGGGGTCTGGGCCCCCCGCCCTCTCCTGTTACTCACTGTGCCCCAGCCACACTGAGTGAGGGGGTCTTCCCACCCTGACTCACATGTGCCAAGTTCCCCACCTGCTTCTGGCTTCTGTGCACCCTCCTTCCTGCGTGGAATCTTCTTCCCTGACATTGGCAGGGCTGGTCCATTTACCCAGTCGGCCTCAGTTTAAATGCCCCTCCTGGAGAGGCCTTCCCTGATCGTACCATCCACCACCGTTACCAGCAGCTTTTCACTTTCTTCTTGCATTCCCTGTAACACTAACCAAAATCAAAACTTGTTTTAGTTCACCTGATTTTTTTCTGCCTTCTCCAGAGTAAATAAGCCCTCTGAGTTATGCTATCTCATTTTCATCTGTCTTTCCTAAGTACCTATCCCAGTGCTTAACATATAATTGGTATTTGATCAGCATTTGGCTTCATGAATTAAATGGGTGAATATGATGGACTAGGGCAACTTTGGGCCCTCAACCCCTGGGCTCACGTAGGCACTCCACCTGTTTCTTTGTGGTTCACGAGCAAAGAATGGTTTTCACATTTTTAAATGGTACAGCAAATGGTACAGCAAAAAGAATATTTTGTGACATGCCATTATGTGAAATTCTAATTTCAGAATCCATAAGTAAAGTTTCAGTGACCCACGGGCATGCCCACGATAACAGATGCCTGTGGCTGCTTTCATGATAAAATGGTAGAGTTGATTAATTGTGATGGAGATTTAATGGCCTGCAGAGCTGGAAATATTAGTTATCTGGCCCTTTGCAGAAAAGATCTGCCAACCTCTAGTCTGGAGTCAAGGGTCAGGGGGAAGAGTTAAGAAGCTGTTGCAGAGATTCCAAAGGGAGAGGCAGAGACGGGTAGGCTGAACTGATGTGGTGACCTTGAGGCTGGAGAGGGTGGGGACGGATTCCAGCCTATTAAGCAAGCAGGTTTCCTGACCTCTGCCAAGCTTCCCCGCCCCACTCCCAATGAATTAGGCTCCTCTGAATAAACATCTCTTTGCCTTTACCAGCAAATCAAGCCTCTCTCAAAGAGGCTTGATTTTCCTAATTGCTCTGCCTCCTCCCAAGTGCCCTCTGAAGTCTCATGTGAAATGGGGATGATGGAATGGATGCGATGGTTGCGAATGCACTTACTAAAGTCACGCACACGGGCAGTTGCTGGGATATCTCATTAGTGAAGTGCTAGGGCAGTTAACTGGCTAGACATGTCTACTGTCACTGAGGAGGTCAAGTGGAATGATTACTTTTGCTTCCTGTTTTGGTCTATGTCTAGGAGACTTGGCCCTGAACAGTGGAGTTCCAGATGTGTATATTAAAAATGGGTGCTTGGTAGAAATCTCAAGTCTTTGCCATCATCTATAGTTTAAGTTTTTGTTTGAAAGAGGACCTTGTATTTGGGGTTCCACAGAGAAACCGGCATCATACTTGGCCTTTGAGCTTTACTAAGGCTTTTGAACACAAATCACCTGTTAAGGCAATATTTTGTCCTCATTAAAATGATTTCAATTAGTTTCTTAAATGTACTAGGCTCTGTGTCTTATTACATATCTTAGAAACCAGCCAAGACTCTCATATCTGTTGGTTTATAGAACTATTGACATTTTTAAGACTTAAAAAATGCTTTGGATTGATTGTTAGCTCTTAACGTTTCCTCTGTGCCCACCCTCAGTACATCCAGAACACAGTATAACTTGGGTTTAAGTGAAACAACTTGCAAAATGCAGAAGTAAAGCAGTTGTCTTTCTAAATACATTTCAAAAAATCAAGCAGTTGTCTTTTCATTCATTTCCCAAGTGCTTCGGTGCTACTCCTGCACGTGTAAGGCACGATTCAGCACTCGTGGTGGGCATTTCCTTTTGGCGTTGACTGTTCAACGGGAGGAGAAAGACCCAGATCGCAAAGCACTCTGTTGGTCGTGCGTCCTGGGGTCACAAAATGCTATGAGGGCCCAGACCACATTGCATTGAGTAGGTTACTACATGTGTCTCCGTGTACTGTCAGGAGCTGGGGACACAGTGATGAATGATATATGCAAGGCCCCTTCCCTGTGAAATAATAATCAAACAGGATGACTTTGAATAGTGGTGGCCATGAGGAACACACAGGCTAAAAGGATCAAGAGTGACTGGAGCATGGAAGGAGCGCTACTGAGGATAGTTCGAGATGTGTTCTGAAATAGGGAAATTTATGCTGAGGTCGCAATGATAGGAAAAAATTGGCTATGCACAGGTGCAGGCCAGAATATGCCATTGAAGGGCATGGCTGGTCCAGAGGCCCTGAGGTAGGAGCCAGCACAGCCAGTGTAGTTGAAGTGCAGTGACTCATACAAAGAACGTTCCATCCGTGAGGTGGAGAGGCAGGCAGGGGCCAGCATGGGGACCCTGGATGCTGTTGGGTGGCCTTTGCATTATTCTTATAATTACAGTGAGTAGCCACAGAAGGTTTTCTGTAAAATAAGATTACTAAGTAATAATTCAAGATCCAAAATGGATAAAAGCAGAGAGGCTGGAATTGAAGCTGGAATGAGAAGTTGACCTAATGAAAATCCCTAATCTCTCCACCATCTCCCATCTAATAGTGGGGTACCTACACCTCAGGCATTTCTAGCAGACTAGTCAGTCTAGTCTAAAGACACAGAACCAGGAACTTCTCCTTTCCACCTGTCCCATTCGCAGGCATAGGAAGTCCTTTCCTGTGTCTCCTTATAGCAGCTACCCACGGGTTTTAAATAACCTTGGGGATGACACAGCACTGTTCTTGTTTCTGGATATCAGCACTGAAGTCAGTTCAAGGGTGGTTGCAGGCCTCTGCCTGCCCCTTGGGCCTCCATTCCCTTTCAGACGTGCCTGCAGTGGTGGTAGCCCCGTGTCAGGGCATGCTGACACTGTCAGGACGTGGCACTGGCTGTGTCGTCTGATTACCTGCAGTCTGCTCTCCGGGAGGGCGCTCTGCATTCACGGTAGTTTCTCCAGCAAGGTCACCTGCCCACAGCTCTAAAAAATGAGAGTGGTCAAGACCCAATCACATTTGCTCGTTCTCTCTCTCTCTCTCTTTCAGAGAAGAGTAGGAGAGGCTTCTAAATTTAACTGCCTGTTGCCTGTGGGATAAGTACAGGCTCCTCAGGCAGGGCTGCAGTGTCTCCACACTGGCACCCCTCTCCAGTCTGACTCCCCGTAGCTTCTCCCCAAAATTTGCACTTTTGTGAGTCCTTGCTCTGTCTTCCCCACACAGATGCATTTCTCCTCCTCTGCAGATACAACTCATGATGGGCCAGTTCACACCCTGCCTTTTTTCATTTTTCTTCCTACTCCATCTCTCTTTAAAAATCGAAAATCTACAAAAGTTATACACAAATTTGCTTTTCCAAAAGAATGTTTTCTTTTTTTGCCTTTTTCTCTCAGTTAGGAATTTGTTATGTATCTTTCCAGGCCTTTTGCTATGCATTTATATATAAACACATTAAGTTTTTCTTTTTTCACTGGACAGGATAGTATCTTTGCAAGGCAATACATACAGTTGTAACTTTAAAAAATATGCAATCATTAAAAATGTTTTAATGGTAATAACTCAAGTTGAAAAGGGTATATAGTAAAAAGGGTATACAGTGAATAGTTCTCCAATTCCCTATTTTTATTTTGGATGTTATTGCTAGTTAACACTTTCTTACATATATTTATACATGCTTTAAAACATGTAATTCTCTAGTACATGGCACATATATTATATAGCATATTGAACATTTTTCATATCTAGATACACAGATGCCAGTTCTTTTTAATGAGTGCAAAGTATTCTATTGTGTGAATACGCTCTGATTTATTTAACCATCTCTGTATTAGTGAACTCATTTTCTCTTTTATGTTTGGAAATCTCTGACCATTCTATCTCATGTTGAGTCACTCTTCCTTTGTTATAAATTTAAATTATTTAACACGATCAACATTAACTGAGTGCCTCCTCTTCCTGGCACTGTGCAGGGCCCCAAGGTGCTTAATATGTAGCTCCCTCCCCTCCATTTGACTTATCACAGTCTAACAGGAAGACCCACTCCTAAAAAACTTAGAAGGCGACGTACGCTGGAATGGATAGATATGCCATCGCTGCTTAGCACATATATTATTAATCGTGCTTGGGGAAGGCAGAGAAGGGGGAATTAGAATTGAACTATAGAGGATGAGTTGGAGATCTGGGGCAAGAAAGAGAAGGCCATTCATACAAGGGGAACAACGACAGCATGCGATGGTAGGAAAGAGCATGTACGGCACAAAGAACAGCCGTGGCCCAATGTGATGGCAGCGTCTGCTGTGGGATAGACTGACTGGGTTGTACCGTTTGCTCAGCAGCTGGTCATAGGAAACATTGAACATATGAGTAGGACACGTGCACTGTGCCCAACTGGACTCCAGAGCCCCTGGGGTTACTCTCTCTATGCTCTGCAGGGCACTGCCGGGACCTCCAGAGCAGGGGGCTCTTTCTTGAATTGGTCTGGTTTTTCAAAAAATCACTTATTCACTTTGCATTCTTAACGATGTCATGTCCTATTTTTGCAGAGTGTAGTCACTCAAGAAATAGAACAGAATTCAGCCATGGCCCCAAGGAAGAGAGGTGGACGGGGGATTTCATTCATCTTTTGCTGTTTCCGGAATAATGATCACCCGGAAATCACGTATCGGCTGCGAAATGATAGCAACTTTGCCCTTCAGACCATGGAGCCAGCATTACCCATGCCCCCTGTGGAGGAGCTGGACGTCATGTTCAGTGAACTGGTGGTAAGTCCCAGGTTCCCATCCTGGCGGTGGGTGGGAGCTGGGAGGGAGAGGACAGAATGTGCATGGTTGGTTTGGGTAGCCATGGGCTTGCCCTGCTTCAATGCAGTGACCCCTATCTGTCCCTTTTGTCTGAGCTGCACTGCCGGCACTGAGCCCGTGGACAAAGCAGGAAGGAGGAAGGCAGCATCACTACACCAGAGGGCCTTGCCAGTGCTTTAAGTGGAGCGATTTAAACCTTTAGGTCTTCAAATACGTGGCAGCACTGCCTCCTAAGTTGCCCTTCCCAGTTCCTCTCCATCCCAACCAGAGTCTGTACTGTGGGCGTAGACGATTCCCTCATCCGCCTCATACCTCCTGGGGGTCCCCCATACTTCCTCCACCCCCCACTTCCAGTGCACAGTACTAATGTCTTTCTAAAAATTAGTCATACTACCCCTCCTGTTCTTGACCCTTTGATGAAAGACATTATTACTGAAGTATAGTGTAATTATTTAGACTAATGATAGGATTGTAATAATAACTGTTGTGGGAAACTTTTCATAGATGCTATCATATTTTAGAATCCACTATACTGGAAGGAGAGATGCCTCTGGTGTAAGTCCCATTCACCAAGAGGTGTAAGGGTTTTCTTCAGCTTAGCTTCTCAAGTACCGCCAAAGCAGTGCTTCTTTCCATTCCATGTTGCTAGAGGATATTAAGGCACTGGCATGGAGATTAGGAAGACCATCGTTCAAATTACTGCTCCGAGTTTATCATCCGTATAAGTATGGAAAAAGCATATGACTTTTTCGAGCCTGTCTTCTGTAAAGTGGGGGAAAAATAATACTTCCTTCTAATTTGATGTAATATATAAATGAGAATAACAACTAGTGTAATGGCCCAATGCCCAGTTACCGGTTACATGAGTACTCTGCCCGCCTTGGTCGCCCCTGGCGTTGTGTCATGGGGTTGGTTCTACTCAGACAGTGTGTATTGTTCAGCGGATACTAGGGAGCGCTGTTGTTTCGCATGGCTGCCTCTGAGTAAGGTGGGCTGTGTCACCGCCCTCCAGGGGTATTATCTGAACTGATCCGTGTCACTTCAGTGCTTCTAGACAGAATTCACCTCTCAGCTTTTCCTACAAGATAAGCCAGGATAAGGGAGTACTGTGAAGCTGCTGTTTGAGTTCTGGGCTCCTGAGTAGGTTAACTCATTGGCAGACAGAAGAGATGACTCTTGGCAGTATGTTTCTACTTTATGGGACTGAATATTTTAGTGTTCCAGACATCTCTGCCCTCTGCCATCTTCACTGCTACAGAACTCTGTTCTTGGTGTTAGCCAGGAGGTTCAAGCTAGAAAACTAGAATCTGCTCCAAAAGAGCTGACAGTTTCAGTAGCAAAGGGGACCCAGAAAGGGATAATGCCACCCAAAAAAGAGGCACACCCCAGTTATGCATCAGTGTGTGGAAATGTGATGGCAAACACAGTGATGAGGAGGGTGGTGCAGGGCAACTTTCTGGAGGAAGTGAGGTGGGAGGAGCGCCAGTTGAAGGTGAGAAGGGAAGTGGAGGGGACCGGTGTTAATGACTATCTTAGTCACGGTAAGCCAGTTTTTCCTGTGATAGCAAAACCTCAGTGGTTACAGCTGCAGAAGTAACCGGTGTGGGTCAGCTGTGGTTCTGCTCCTCCCTGTCTGCTCGCCAGGGCCCAGCCCTGGTGGAAGAGGAAAGCAAGACATGGCCAACTGCTAGCAGGCTCTGAGCTTGTGCTTGGAAATGACATGTCTCTTCTGCCCACATTTCTTTGGCCAAGGCATAGCCCGTGGCCACTCCTGAGTTCACAGGACAAGGACGCATCATCCTTCGGTAAAGATTGGTGCCATAAGTCACACGGCCAAGCCTGAGGTCATTGGTGCGGGTGGAGGACCCATAATTTTCTCCTAGGGAGGGGCATTGGATCATCTGCCATGATGGCTACCAAGACAGGCAGCGGTGATGGATTGACAGGCTTGGTTTTATTTCCCACTTAAAGCATGTTACAACCAAAAGTCACCCTAAGGAGATGGATATTGCTGATAGATGAAGACCTCCTCGGTGGTCATGGAGGCGGTGGGCAGAGCTAGTGCCCTCAAAGCATCTGCGTCCCTTGTCCTTTCAATCATATTCTGTCATCCTCCGAAGATGAGTCCCGAGCCACGGGCTGTGCGGTGGCAGCGCCGTGTCCATCTCGAAAACAGCTCATTGTTCTGTGTGCATAAGGGAGAAAATTCCACGTTCTGCCTTGTCGATGTCTTTATTCTGTGTGAAAATTGCCTACAGCTGTTAGTTGTTAAAAAAGCCAATGCCAGACCAGAACTTGAAGCTGAAACCATTGGAAAACAAATTATCTTGAGGTTTGTATCTGTCCTGGTGAGTGAGGGATGAATTTTTGTCTACTTCTGATTTTAGGGACTTAGACCACAAATCTCTGCAACTGCCAAGGGTGTCCTGGGACAAGGGAGGTGGACTCAGAGCCACCGGAAACCTCTGCCCCGGCTCCTCCTGAGTAGTCGCCGCAGCAGTTCCGCCTCTGCCAGTTCACAGGAGAGGGAGGCCACGTGGGGCAGCGAGAGGGCATGGCCTTTGGAGTCAGGCCACTCTGCACCCCAGAGTGACATCATTTGAGACTGCTTCTGTCGGACTCCAAGTTTTTTTTCTTGTCTATAAAATGGGGATAATACTTTCTCTCCTGTAGGGTTGGTACGAAGATTAAAGCCGGTAACTTCTTTTAAAGGGCTGGCACCTAGTAGGTGCTGTACATCCCACATCCTAGTGCAGGGAGGTAATGCAGGTATTTTCTAGGCACAACACCCTAGCAAATAAATATCCCACACTTTTCCTTTTCTTGAAAGCTAATCTGCCTGCCATGAGCAAGCCAATGTGAGTCCCAGCTTGTATCTGTTGGAAAGCATCTCATCAGAGCTGGTTGTTGTAGGGTAGTTTCCTGGGCCTTGTCTCATGAGTCACCCACTTGATGTTTTAAAAAGTGATACCAAATAGGTTGCTTTCAGAAGAGCTTACTGCAACCTTATCATCTCATAAATAAAGCAAGCCCGAAGGGGAGGTCAGCCGTGTGAATCTTTAACGAAGGCGGGCAGCGAGGAGTGCCTGGTGCCCCAGCAGGCTCCCTGTCACAGCAGAAGAAGCTGCATCATCCCAGTTTCAGGAACTCTAGTGGTTTCTGGAGGTCCCCTTCCCACACCCGCATATTTTTTTAAAGATAACAACTTCGTTGAGATAAAAATTCATGTACCATATAATTCATCTATTTAAAGTGTACTATTCACTGGCTTTTATTATATTCACAGAACTTTGCAACCATCAGTACAATAAATTTTAGAACATTTTTGTCACCTCCCCCAAAGCAACTCCCTTACCCATGTGCCATCACTCCACACTTCTCCCCAACCCTACCAACCCCTGGCAACTTCTCGTCTGCTCTCTGTTTCTGTGAATTGCCCATTCTGAGCATTTCATAGAAATGAAATCATAGGATGTGTGGTCGTATGTGGTCATTTGTGACCGGCTTCTTTCACTTAGCTTAAGTGTTCTCGGGGTGCATTCATGTTATTGCATGGACCAGCACTTCACTTCTTTTTATTGTCCAATAATATTCCAGTGTATGGATATACCACATTGTGTCTGTCCATTTGTCACTGATGGACATTTGGGTTGCTGTCAGTCGTTACTATGAATAATGCTGCTATAAACATTCATATACCAGTTTTTGTGTGGAAGTACATTTTCAGTTCTCATGGATGTATACCAGCACCTAAGAGTAGAATTTCTGATTCATCTGGCAACACTGTGTTTAACTTTTGAGGAACTGCCAGATGGTTTCCCAAAGTGGCTGCATCATTTTACGTTCCCGCCAACAGTGTACAAGGGTTTCAGTTTCTTCACATATTTGCCAGTTCTTGAGAGTTTGTGTAATCTCTGCTAACCATGTATCTTATGCCTTTGAGTGTCAATCCTTTCTTCCCTTATTACCTTCCCCACAAATCAGGAACATAACCAACCTGAGACCTAGCACTGTTGCCATAAAGTGCGAGTCAGCTAAAGTCTTGTCTTTGCTGCAGCCTATCATCATTATTATTATTATTATTATTGATGTGGTTGATTCACTTTTTTATTTAAAAAATTTCTTTTTATTTCCAATTACAGCTTACATACAATATTATATTAGTTTCACGTGCACACCCTAGTGATTAGCCATTACATAACGTAGTAAGTGATCACCCTGGTAAATCTCACACCCATCTGACACCATGTATAGTTATTAGACTATTGCTGACTGTATTCCCTGTGCTATACTTTACTTACATCCCCATGACTGTTCTGTAACTACCAATCTGTACTTCTTAATCCCTCCACCTTTTTCTCCCATCCCCCCAACCCCCCTCCTATCTGGCAACTCTCAAAACAGTTCTCTATATCTGATTCTGTTTCCGTTCTGCTTGTTCATTTATTTGTCTTTTAGATTCAATTGATGATAGATATGTATTTATTGCCATTTTAATGTTCATATTTTTGATCTCCCTAAACTGTCTGCAGGCCTTTAAAGGTCTTAGGTTATTCCCACCAACCTATTTGAAGAGTCCTAGGCATGACAACTCTATACACGGTATTTGCTCAAGTAACTTTTCCATCTCAGTGTTAGTAGTAGGAGATTTCTTTGGAACTGAACAGCAGAATGTGTCATTATTTGATAGACAAATTCTTTTAACCTATATGTGTCTGTGTTAAGTGCCCACTCTGGCCCAGTCCCTGAAGTAACTGGAAAGCAAAACAGACACGGCCCTTAATTGCTTTGAGGGGCTCAAGGTCTAGGAGGGAAGTGGATAACTAAACACACAGTCTTACCCAGTGTGACCAACTGCTATGAGATGGGCTGTGCTCAAGCAATATGTTTTGTGGGCAAATAACCTTTATTTTCATTTTTTTACAAGGAGGAAGTTCCACTCACAGGTCGTGTTTCTTTCA